TTTCACGTTGGTGCTCACTGAATCTGGTGCGTGACCCCGAAAAGGCAATTTCACCTTTCACCCGTGTATCCTGCTTAGTTCAAAGACATTAAATAAGTTCAAACCAATACTGAATTCTCTGCCTTTTCAAACATTGATACAGATTATACACGTGTATTATTGCTATTAAAGATGTTTTTTAGTCTTTGAATCTTTTAGAAGAAGAAGAAGAAATATACTTTATTGCACTCAAAACATAGAAAATAACATATAAATATAGAAAATTGAAGGCAAGGGCGGCCTTATCACTACAAGCGATCTCTTACAGGCAACCAAACAAATTTTTAGTTTATGGTTATATAAAAAATATTTTTCTATTTCAAAATATTTTAAAAATAATAATCGTTTATTTTGTTACCTGTTTAAAATTGTTAGATAATTACCTCCTTTTGTAGTCAGCCTTTTATAAATAGCATAGCAGTATTTTGCAAATTAGTCCCGAACCAATATTCACACTTCTAATTTGTCTTGACATTGACAAGCTAAAACAATAATAATAATTTAGAAATGGAGTAATTATACTTAATGTCCAACAAAAAACTCTTGACATATTCAAAATATTCCGCGATTCCTGTGCGAATGAAGCCATAGCTTAAAAAGTACAATAATGCTATCAATACAAAAACGGATTGTGGTTTTTTTGTATTAATATGTTCTGTTACCCAGAAAAATAATGATAAAGATTTACGGCCAGTTAAACGTCGTATAGAGATTTAATAGTCAATTAAGGGTGGTTTTATCCAAGAAAAACAAAATTAAAGTAAAACTGTTTCTTCCATACAAATTGTATTATTAAAAAGAACACACAATTACCCTCTGGTATCACAGTCCGTGATAAATGGTCTTGTCTGTTGATTGATTGAGAAAACATTTCATAAATCATCAATCAATCTGTTCGATAACAGAAAAGAAATGAGGGAAGGGTTAGTGACCTTTTGTTATTTACACTTATTTTTTGGACCGAGAACCTAGTCCGTGAATTTAGAGAACATTTGAAGACAAATTATTTAGAGTACTTAATGAGATCTAAGATTTTCGCGAGTACACATTTAAATGAAACTAATATTTTCGGATTTTACTTCGCGTTTTATTTTTGTAATAAAATTTTTACAATAAAACTTCGCGTTTTATTATAAATTTTTATAATAAAACGCGAAGTAAAATCCGAAAATATTAGTTTCATTTAGAGTACTTTTTCATTAATTTATATATTTGTCAATAGAGGTATATATATTGGGTTGGCAACTAAGTCATTGCCGATTTCAAATAAGAAGGCAAATTCGGAATTTTTGTTTAAAAATATAACTTTATTCAATTAGATATTGGCCGTTCTTGTCGATAACCTTTTTCCATCGTTGTGGCAGAGTAAAAATTCCCCGTTCGTAAAATGTCTGGTTTTTGCTATTAAAAAACTGAATTAGGTGTGATCCGACGTCATCCGCGTTGTTAAAAATTTTACCATTTAAAGAGTTTTGCATGGAACGAAACAAATGGTAATCCGAAGGTGCAAGGCCAGGGCTATATGGTGGGTGTGACAAAACATCCCAACCCAGTTCCAATATTTTTTGCCGAGTAACCAAAGATGTGTGGGGCCTTGCGTTATCATGATGGAAAACAACACCCTTCAATTTGATAATGCCGGCCGCTTTTCTTCAATTGCATCCTTCAGTTTTTCGAGTTGTTCAACATACACATTTGAATTTATCGTTTGGTTCTGCGGCATGAGTTCAAAATACAAAATTCCTTTGTGATCCCACCAGACCGACAGCATAATCTTTTTTTCGTGAATCTCTGCTTTTGATACTGTTTGGGCTGGTTGATCTTGCTTCACCCACGATCTCTTGCGAGTAACATTGTTATAAACTATCCACTTTTCGTCGCCAGTAACTAGGTTCTTCAGAAATGGATCATTCTCATTGCGTTTCAGTAGCGAATCACAAATGCTAATCCGTTGCGTCAAATGAATTTCCTTTAACTGGTGAAGGATCCATAAATCAAGTTTCTTGACATAACCAAGGGTTTTTAATTTTTTTTTAATTCATGTATGCGACACTTTAAGCTTCTCAGCAATATCTCGTGTTGTGCTGTGACGATTTGAATCGATAATGGCCTTGATATGGGTGTCATCCACTTCGACTGGGCGGCCAGATCGTTGTGAATTTTTCAGTGAAAAATCACCGGAACGAAATCTTTCAAACCAATTTCGACACTGCCTTACTTTTAAGGCTTTATCTCCATATACGGCACATAACTTCTTTAGTGCTTGCGATGCGTTCTTGCCTTTTCGGAAGTAATAAAATAAAATGTGTCGGAAGTGCACGTCCTGTTCTGCCATTTTTAAATTGGGATAAAAACAAAACTAGAGAACTAATCAAAATTTTTTTTTACTAATTAAACGTAGAAGTCCATACAGTAAGAAAAAAATATAGGTTAGATGCTCTGGCCACGTTAACAAAACAAAAAAAGTGTAGAGTGAATCTATCAACAAAAACGGCAATGACTTAGTTGCCAACCTATTATATATATATATATATACATATATATATACATATATATATATACATATATATATATATATCTTCTCTATATATAAAAATGGATTGCTGTTCCTTAGTCTCGCTAAAACTCGAGAACAGCTGAAAGGATTTATCTTATCTTAGTCTTGAAATGTTCGTGGAGGTTCAGGGATGGTTTAAAAGGTGAGAAAAATTGATTAATTTCCGGGAAAACCCTAAAAACCGCCCTTTTCTATTTCCCATACAAACGTTTTCTTTGACATTAGATTTGACAACTAATATGTCAATTATACTGTTCGATTGAAACGGGAAAATCCTGATTATTTATGGCCTCTAAGACGAAAAAGCGTTCGCTCGGTCAGCTATACATACATATATTACTAATGACGAATCTAACGCGGACGAAGTCGCAGGCAAAAACTCGTCATAAATATATATGACTTGATGTATGACTGACAAAATTTGTATTATTCCGAAATATTTCACATTTCTTTCTTATTTCATATAACATATTTTCTCTTTATTCACAGTCGCGAATTCTGATGGAAGTGACACAAAATTTCATATATAATTTTTATCTCGAATGTCAATTCTGCTTTATAGTAATCATGAGGTCCTTGCCCTGTACTAAACTCGGTGAGTCCCTGAACCATCTATATCGAGTCATTACACACGGTATTTAAACTTAATGACATACATTCAAGGTAATTAATTAATTTTATCACTATAATACGTTGAACTTTACTGTTTACTTATTTATTTACGTACCTTTATGTAATCGGAGACCTATCAAACTGGTTAGGTAAATAATAATTAACTAAAATATTCTCTCTCTATTATATATGTATTGTACATAATAAAATTGCATTCATTTTATATATAAATATATCGCGAAGAAATTAGTGAAGTTAATTTTTTTATATAAAGTTTTACTGTATAAGTGAACACAAAAGGCATATGGACGTGTCTGTATTTCCACTTTCGTTACAAAAGCACATCGTTTCTCGTAAATTAATACCAACATCATTGGATCACGTTTTGTTTAACATAAAATAAAGCTTTTAAATGTGTAAACGTTTTGTATTAATCCGTTTCAAAACATAATTACTCTCAAGTCCCAATTGCTCGGGGCGAAGACTATTTGAATCTTTGCCAGTTTACTCACACATATGCAAAGTTATATATTATTTAATCTTTTATATAACATAACGTACTAGTAGTATCATTAATAAAAAATAAACTTCCTGTAAGAAATAAAATGTATTATTTAATTTGCCTTTATCAGTGGTGGCCTAGTGGTTAAAGGCCCGCCTCTCATGCACGAGGGCGCGGGTTCGATCCTAGCAAGTAAAAATCTGATTTTTCCGATTCATATGTACTTTCTGAGAGTGTTTAGAAACTACTGACAAACGGTGAAAGAAAACATCGTGAGGAAACCGGGACTTATAATTTCACAATTATAAGTTTGAAATCACCAACGCGTCTTGAGCAATCGTGGTGATTAATGCATTCCCAAAGAGGGTTGATGTCAGGCAGGCGGCTGGTCGTAAAAACAATTAGCCAAAACTATTCACAACATATAAGGCAGAACCTGGCTAAATCTGACAAATTGCCAGGAATAAGATACTGATTACCTTAATATGTTATAAGCTTGACATTATTCGTTTCCGAATTAATTGTACATTCTCTTTGAATCACTTCTCGCTCTAATGGACAAGAACGATAATCCTTATCTTTTCCGCAGTAAGGTTCATTATACTCTGACGTAAATTTATTAATGAACTAGACTATGTGACTTCACTCGCTAAGAGATTAAAGTTTCGAACTACCGGGAAGATCCCTTTTAGAACTACAGATTGCAATCTAATCGGGACATCCTTTGGGTAACTTAATAGTTTTCCTGATTGGATATCTATTTGCCTATCTGTCTGTGGATATATCAACTATATAATGGTTTTCAAGAAACAAATATAGTTGTATCATCTCAATTCAAGTTTCAGTTTGTACAGGGCTTTTGTTATTTTTTTTCATCAGTACAGTTTACCCTTTTATAAGAAAAATGTTTTGCCTTTCATTAGTTTCTTAAGAATTATTTTCTGAATATAATTTTCGGAGTAGCTTGTACTTAAGAAAAACAATATTTACCTACAAGTAAGCTTCTTGTTAATAAAATTTCTTAGAGATAATTTTTTTTTTAACAAATTTTCAATTAAAATATTATACCTTACCTAATTTCAAACTAATTAATCGCTCTTTTTTTCACATATAACACCTATTTTTATATTTTACAGTATCATTAAAAATCACTGTCATTTTTATAGTTTACATGACAGTTATATGTGACAAAATATAAATTTTATTTGTTATATAATAGTCGATGATAGTACATATTACCACCTATTTGAGATAACAAAAAATGCAAACCAAGACCGTAATGTATAAGGCATGCAAGAGGACGATCAAGTGACATCGTGTTCAAGAAACATAAATCCAGACTCGAATCCCTCACTGGACGTGGCTTTGTCGAAACCTGAGGATATTGAATTATTTTATGCAGCTAGCGTACATTTTCTTAAAACTCGACTGCAGGAAAAAACTAATATTAAAGAAACAGGCTCTTCAACAAAGAGTTGCTGCGATTTAGCAAAACCTTTAGACAAGTCACCATCTAACAGAAATCTTGAAGAACCTTCATCATTGTCCATGCATCAGATTTTACCTTTTCCTAAGACAAACAAAGAAAGTTTTCTATCCCGTATATTGGGATCGTTTTGGAAACACAGAAAAGGTAATGATAGTAAAAATTCAGCCAAAAAATCTCTTAACAATAAACCCAACTATGACCTGCTACGCTGTAATCATTTATCTAAAATTCATTGTTCTAATTTGAACCCGATTTCGGAAGAACCAACGAGGAATTGTTCACAAAAATCAAGTGTCGATGATACGTGTAATATGAGTGAGTGTTGTAATAAGCGTAATAAAAGATAGCCAGCTGATTAATTTTTTTAAACATCTGTTTATGAAAAATCTAGATTTTTATGGTTTATTAATATAAACTATACTAAATTGAGTCTTGGTCTCATTTATACTCTCATACGTATCAAAAATATATGGCATTTTTAAAACCTTGAAGACTGATCTTTCAAAGGTTTGAAATCTTATATACTTACACTATGAAGATTCAGAATAACTTTTCATTAGTAATTTAAAAAAAGATATAGTTTTTGGATATTATTATAATTTATTCCGATAAGTTACAACTATAGTTGGCGTTGGAAATAAACTTTGTTAGGACTAGCTTGTAAAAATACTATATAAATTTATTTTAAAATTAATTCAGTTAGTTTACATATAGATCTTATACATATTTTATTTCTTGAAAACGCTGTATTTTTTACAAAAATCACGGAGCCAGATTTTTATCATATTTGACACATTATAAAACACTTAAATAAAATGTAAGCTATAACTTAGTAACTACATTGTTTCCCTGGGGATTTTATTTTTTGTTAATTGTATTATTTAAAATTTTTGTTGATCTTTTGATTAATATCAACAGTCGTGACCACAAAAAATAAACAAAAGTAAAACGCATATAATTAACAAAATATAAATAAATGAAATATCAATCTTAATTATTTATGATTTTTCTTTCGTATTTATTTGAAATAGTCATAACATTTTAATAATAGACAATTTCGAACATAAGTAGACTTATTTCGAAAAATAAGTCATATTAAATAAATTCACAAACAGAGAAAGCGATTGGAAACAAACAGTATCTGTTATCTCTAAGTTCTCATCGTATTATTTGGAAAGACTCAAAACTTTGAGTTACATTATTTTTATATTATATCATCAATTTGGAATATTAAGTAATAATTGTTTAATAAGAATGAATATAAATTTGCAGTAGTGGTTTCAAACATCTAATATGATGTGAACAATACAGATGCTACTTCGTCTGCTAGACAGAGACGAAACTTATCAGCATTCCATAGATTCACCGTGCGGGTTCCGGGTCCATCGCGTTGCAGGGAGAGGAGCTTCAACAGTATCTTGGTCGCAAGACCCAGGAGTAGGTTTAAGGGACCCCTTATCTAACGCACGTTTAACGCTCACCTCCACTGTCCAAGCTCCTCTCTTTATTCACTAGGATTATCCGAACATTGATATATAAAACATCCCTTATTACTTACTTATATGACTTAAATCTTGGTTCAATTAAATATGTTATAATAATTGTATGAAACAAAACGACGTCATTTTCTCAGCGAGTAGGCGTTAGTTGTATATACATTTGCATTGTGAACTTTAAGTATACAAATTCAGTAGGCGTTGCGTTTTAAAATAATGAACTCGACTTAATAAATTTGCCAGTACAGTTTGATCTATCCCAAAGGAACAGTTTCTATTAAACGCTACCTACAGACAATACAGAGATAAATTAAAAGTTTAATCAAATCTCCTGCAAAGGTTGAATGTGGGCTTTTTCGATTTCATGAATGAATAGTTATTTTAACTATTATCTTTAATTTAATGTACTTGAACAATAATAATATCTTATTTAATTTATAATTATAGCTTAAAGATATATTAATTATTTTGGGTGGACTTTAATATGTATACATAATATACTGTCTCTTATAATCAATCGCTTTATTTATTAAAAAATAATTAGAAGAAAACCGGAAAATTAAAAAAAAATATTTTGACCTTGTTTCGTTGCCCTTATTAAAAATATTAATGTTCGTACAAAAAGGATAAATTTATATATTATTGTTTTAATTCATTTTATATCAATTAATGCTTTCAATTATGAAAATTATTTTGCACTCCACTTTAATTACTGTCATGTCTTTAAAAATTATATTCGACGAAATAAAAAGGTTTTTTTTAAATAAACACATCAAAATATAATTATTAATCTTTATTATAATATTACAATGTAATGAATATAACAAAAAATTATGATATTATTGTCTTTTTTTTTACACGCAATTCATTCTTTTTACACTTATCACAGATTTTTGACGAATTTTAATTAATATTATTTTACACTTATACATATAATGGTAATGATTTAATTTTCTTATATAACTACATATTTATGACATGATTAATACGAAGAAGTATAATTTTATGGCAATTACTAAAAATGGCCTGATTCACGATAATTTTATGCCTTCCTCCTTTAGTCTTCTCACAACTTCGGGACAAACTTCTTCTTCACGGAATTTATAGCCAAGCGCCAATACCTGTTTGGCGACCGTGTAATTTTTCTTCAAAGATTCCAGCCAAATGGTATATTGATAGTCGGGCCATACACCGCCATAGCGTTCCGGAAGATATTCGGGCTGAATGTGTTTGTGAAGGGACGTAACGTCATACCCGTGGAAGAATATTCTAGATCGCATTTGCGCTGTCAACAGCGGTTTGAAAATGTTGTACATTTTATCGAATATCCAGGAATGGTTAATTATATGTATGGCGTGAGTCGTCGCGGGGAAACTCGACTGAAAAAAATTATATAGAAGTCACGAAAGTGTCGAACCAATAAATTGAACCTGTTGTTAAATGGTATTTTGATTGCAGCACAATTGTTTAATATACTGCAGCGTAAAGGCCGACGTCCTTTCGAAGGTCGCCCTCTAATATACTACACCCACGTCTAAATCATACTTCTAAGAAATATAATTGAATAATCTTGGAAACTGTTTAGAATTACAAAATGTGAAATTAGAATAATCAATGCTAAATCTGATCTGAATGAAATCTATTTGAAGTCATTAAAATTAGTTTATTTATTGAATACTTACGACTAAAAGTTTAATTATTTTGCTGGCTACCGACGGCGTGACCTGCCACACATGCTGTGTGCCCAAATCTTCCAAATCAAACAAAGCTATTCCACCCAAAATTTGAGTCCGCTGCTCCAACAAACCGAGCTCCAAAGCGAATATCGTCGCCTTCAAAAGATCTTCCACAGCAACTGATTTAGGTTCCCAGGCTCCTATTATTAATAATAAAATTATATTTATAAAATTTTCGTCAGTATTTGGATAAGAACTAAATGTTCACATTAAGTCATTGTTTTATAATAACCTTAAATAATTAATAAGTATATGATACAATGACTTAATATGCAAATATATTTTACATAAGTCAAGGGCCAGTCAGGGTTTTTGGAAAAATTTAAAGTAACTCTTACCAATTCTGTATAACAAAAGTCTTCGTCCATTTTGATCACGATATGGAGGAACAGCCATCACGTTAGAGTCTCCAATCCTTCTTAAATCCAAAGGATATACGTTCTCGAATAACTCTGGATAGTCTTCTTTGAACTGGTGATAATTCACCAACTGGTATGGAAATTTTATGCTTATAATAAATCAAGGAAAATTCTCTATAGAAATTCTAAGTCACGAGGTTAATATTGCATCTAAATAGAAAGTATATATGAGTTTCGTAAACCATCTAATATTATGGTCCCAAATAAAACAAGTTTATTATAATATTATATAATACTAATTTTAATATTAAGATAGAGTTTTATGTTTATAATTTGAATTCTTAATAAGCAACAATATATTCATGTACAATAAATGAGTTATTTAATAGCAACAGGAACAGCAATTACATTGTTATGGAAAACTTTTAGATCATAAACGAAACGAATAAATTACGATATCGATTATAATTTCATATTATTAGCTTAGAATTTCAATAGAATTCATATCGTTATATTGAATTAAAATGCATAGAAATATGTCAAGATCATATAAATAAAATCATACCAGTCTGTGCGCTCTTTGTGGGATAAAATTCCGAGCTCGTAAAAACCTAAGCAGGTATTCGTCGTCCATACGTTTTGGAGTGCATTCACCCCGCTCTGAAATATATATGCCGTGCTATAGTTATTTTCAAAAAAGAAACTTTAAAGGACCTTAGTAAGATAACCTGATATTACTAAAACATAAAAGTATTGTATAAGATAGAATTGTGAGACATTGAATATATTGCCTACAATTCAGCATCTGAGACTGTATTCTTAATCTTCTACGTCGAAACTTATCATCATCATTATAATCATCAGCCTATCAGAGCCCACTGCTGAGCAAAGGCCTTTTCTCGTATCGATGACCAGATTTTTTTAAAACTTTCCAATAAATAGTTACTTAACGGAAAAGCAGAGTCTAAGATTTATGGATGTAATTATATAACATCGGAGGAAATAATTTCCACAGCTTAATCCGTCTCAAACACCCACGCGGTTATCTATCAAGCTTATGAAATATTATGGAAGAACATAACATTGCCTTGAACTATACTGTGGAACAATTATGTGCACTTTTGTTTAAATACCATTAGTTAAATGTTCCTCTATAAAGAATTAGTGTCGAATCGGTTTCGGTTATACACGGTGACCGTGAGAGGCGAACACGACTTATTTTAAGCATTAGAAATTACTAGTTATCCTTGTATTGATTTAGAATAGTCAAAACAAGTATACAGTTTTAATTGCCAGAGTATTACGAAATTATGTAGTTATAAAAGGTTGATTTTGCTTAGCAATTCAAAATTTTAGGTTTTTATTTATTAGGCTTTTTAATATTTAAATACCTTTATGGTACTTTATTTATCAAAAACTATTGGCTAGATAGCGGCAATTTGATTTTGAGTACGCGGCAATTTTGTAAATATAAGCATACTTTTTGTAATGCTTTTTATAAGATTACAGACCAAAAAAAAAACGGTAATGATGACAATTTAAAATATTTTTTTAAGTCTTCACTGATGACGTAACAAGACACTAAAAAAGATAGTGTCAGTCTGACCGTGATCGTCGAAGTTTAATTTACACTATAAACAAAAAAGCTATCAAGATTTCCGGCTTACGTTTTTGTATGAAATCTGTCAAGTAATGTATTGATTTCAAAACGAATAATATATCTACTATTTGTTTTCCTGTTAATGTTTATATTCTGATACGAGCTTCTTAGAATTAAATATATAGTATATTTTATTTTATTTTTTGTGTGGGAAACTATATGTTGAGTTGTACTTTGTACGCAGTGAGACATTTTATTCTAATCGGGAAGTTATTTAACAGCAACAAGCAAGTACCTATGGCAAGAGTCGTATCATATTTAGTAATATACAACATTTTTATGTATAATGATATCTATTATTGTCGCATGTACATTTAAATCTAATTAAGTTTTCCTTATATTATTCCTTTTTATTAGTTTCGTCTATTCGAAACACTGTTATCTCGTATGATCGTGATCACACTTACTGTATAAAAACTTAAAAGAACCGAAAAGTCGGGATTATGTAATTACAAGAGACGAATCCTCAGCATTCCATGAATTTAGCGTTTGGGTGCCGGGCTTATCGTGTTGCAGGGAGAGGAGCTTCAACAGTGCCTGGGACTTGCGACTTAGGTGTAATTTGAACGGGCTCCTATATAACACGAATTAAACGCTCACCTCCACGTCCAAGCTCCTCTCTCTACCTAACCAAATTTGAAACGAACTAAATAGGGCTGCCTACCACGCACGTTCTAAGAATAAAATGATGTTAGTTCTAGTCACGCCCAAGTCTTTTAGTTGGTTGTAGAATTGTCTGTTATGCCTTTAAGTATTTTATTGTTAGTTTTACATTATATATACCATATATCATATCTCTGAGTTCGTATATAGCTTGTAGTTTTGTATTCGGGTCCTCGCCGCACTGAAGTCGAGCGTATTCCTGTAGTTCTGGCGGAGGCTCGCCAAGGTCTAAGTCAACGTTGTAATCTGGAGTCGGCATTACGATCTGCAACAGATTATAAAACATGTTATATTTATTTCAATAAAAAAAAAGATAAAAAAAATTAAATGCATTTTTAAATATAGAATTTCTGAGTAGTTATGCTTAAAGATAATAATAATGTCAGCTTTATTAAAATAATTATTAGTAAAAATGTTTTTTTTTTATATAAAAATAAGAAAATATATTCTAAATTAATGTAATTCCGATAATAGCATCAGCGTCAAATTTCTGTAGTAACAATTGTGTAAGAGTTACATCACTAGTTTCTGTTACACACAAGGTTAACGTTACATTATACTTAATATTATGTGATCTCCAAAGGTGGCTCTGCTTATGAAATTGTATTAACGTATTAATCAAATATTTAACTACGTAAATTGACCTTTGAACTCAGTTCAATAATTCATAATTAATAATCAATAATTAATTCGGAATAATTCTGTATTTTTATTAAACTCTATTTTTTATTGCCTAAATTAAAATAAAACTACCATTGAGCCTAATATCAATACAATTAATAAAACATTAACTAATTTCATTTTTGTACCATACGCGATAAGATATCAACCGTAGATTCTACCACAGCGTTTTATCTTTGTCCTTAATTAATAATGAAATTCTGTAATCTACATTAATGGAAATATTTATATTATTTCCAAGAAAATACCTATGAAATTGTCCAAATAAATATCCCTTATTTGCTGTGTTGTCGTCTGTAATGTTGACTGAAGTCATCTGCGAAAGATCCAAGCAACAGAAGTACATATTATTAGCTTAAGTCATTACATTAGTCACTTCCTATTATTCAATAAGGAAGATCTGTTTTCCAGAGACATAAATTATGAACAATTTTTTTCAGTAAATAATAGAATTGAAAGCATAAGAATTGTATTTAAAAACTCCTAATGGTTTCCCTTTTTTGTCATCTAGCTAGGTTTGTTTTATTATAAAGTTTATTTTGGTCATAATCCTGAGTAAAGCTAAAGATATTCTTAATATACATCACAAACTATTAGCTACGAAACCTATAAAGTGAAATTCAACGCCTCCGTATCGACGATCGATGTTCCATTAATTAGAAGGTTGCTAGGGTTGTCGAGAAAGTTCGATGAAGATACGTTAGACCAGTTCTGTATATTAGAAGCACTAGAAAACGTATAGCCTTTTGGAATCAGGTTTTAAAACAGTCTATCTAGAAACTAAAATAATATTCAAGCTATTAACATAAACGTATGCTATAAGAAATCAAAAGAGCGATGTATTTCGAAGGATACAGGTATGACTGCAACATCTCTGTCTTCGCCTTAAATATTAAATAATATGAAACTTCATATTTTAAGGCCATTTTTATGATATTTCATTATTCGCACTGGGATCGTGGAATATTTTACCAATGTCAACGATATCATTGGACCTTAAGGCCATGACAATTCTATATTTTGAAAATGTCAGAACCATAAAAATGGCTGACATTTTTTGATTTCATAAACGGTTTATAATTTCGAAAGCCAAACAATATCTTTTTATGGTCCTTAAGAGTTTCTTAGTATTGTTCTCTCGTGTTAATTGAACGTGAAATTTCTTAATCCGCGGAACAAAAATATCAGTCGCATTGTTGCCAAAAATGTGTCTTCATTTTGACGTTGCGTAAAACTTGCTCCATATAAAGCATTTCATTGTATGCAGTGTTCTGAGAACAATGAGAGATGAGAGGGATCCTTTGTTCGTACGAACGAGGCCCGTAATAAAAGGACAAACGAATGAGGGCAGGAGATTTCGCATTGCAGTTTATATTGTTTACAGAAGCATCCTTACTAAGAATATCATAAAGATGGTATACTATATAAAATACCTCACAGATTTAAATAACTTTTTTCTATTGTATATTTCAACCGGTTATTATACATTTAAACAGATATTCGAGGCTCATAACCCTTTCAAATGTTTCTATATATATAGCTTTGCTATAAGTTTTTTTAAGAATTACATTATTTCAGAAAAGTGATGCTATAAGGAAAATTAAATTTCTTTTAAAATAAGAAGATACGATCCAACCTATAGAAATATGATAATTAGGTGTTTTAAGTAAATATACATTATCTTAATTCTTTTTATTCTATCCAGTCGTACGGGTAGATTGTATAATTTATATGACATTTAGTAATAAAATATAAGTTTTTGTGTCCGAATTTAAAAACCTGCTTTGTGGCTATGGTAATAAAATATAAAATTAAATGAAGTTATTATATTAATTATAAAACAATTAACATATCATTCAATATTAAACAGCTGGTTCATTTAAAATATATAGTCTTAATGTCACAAGTCAATATAGAGCAAAAAAGTTATTCTTATCTTGGCTTTGAAACTTTTAAGAGAACATTAGAAAATTATATGTACATATAAAAAAAATAATTAAAAAACCAAAAGTATTTTGACATTAGTTTTGACATTTGACCATTTTGACATTAGTGTTACACGTTGACTATTTTGTCACTATTTTTACCATTTAACCATTTTGGCATAATTTTTAGTCGGCAAATTTTTTTTTTTTAGCCTATTAGATCCCACTGCTGAGCAAAGGCTTCTTTCTCACATGGAGAAGGTTTGAGCATTAATCACCACGCTTGCTCAAGATGGGTTGGTGATTTCAAACTTATAATTGTGAAATTATAAGTCTAGGTTTCCTCACGACGTTTTCCTTTATCGTCTGTCAATGGTGTCTAAATACTCTTAGAAAGTACATATGACTTGGAAAAATCACATTGGTACTTGCTAGAATCGAACCCGCGCCCTCAGCAACGAGAGGCGGGCCATTTAACCACTAGGCCACTGACTCATATTCGGCTAATACATGATATTTTTTATACACACATCATTTTATTCATATGTTTTCCTACAAATAAATCAGTTAAGAATATGTCATAATCATTTATAATACAGGTTTGATTTATTTTATAGACAAAAATATACTAGTTTTGAAATCGTGATTTTATGAAGCCTTGACCCTAATTCCATTTTGCTTAAAAACAGGTTGAAGAATATTATGTGGTTCATATCGGAAGTGTTAGATAATATGATAGAGAAAAAATACTAAAAACTTATCTTGATTAAGGAGAAAAATTTTTCAATTTTATGTATCGTAGATATTTGTATTAAACAGACGGCTTTTCCCAATTGCAACCCAACATTATTCCGTGTGATTTAAAAAGCTGTGTTTTTTGAATCAAACCTTCAATAATAATGAAATAACACTAAGATTTTCGAATACACTGTGCGTTTTTAATTATGTTAAAATGACAGTGTCCAAACATTTCCTGAAAAAAGGAGCCAAAAACTCAGGTTATTGTCGTTTGAAAATAATAAGCAATGCGTAGAATGTCCTATTATATATGTTCTAGAATTTTAATTTTATTTAAATGTATACACGCGAAAATCTTACATATCATTACTTCAACAACAATATTTAACCTTTAAAAAAAATCTCCTAACAAATACATTCCACGTGGAAAAGGCAGCTTTAAAAAACATAAATTATTGTATTTACCTTAATCAGTACCTACATAATGATATCGAAGGTTACTTATCAATTGATTGAGCAAAACATATTTTTCTGTTTGCCAATTCATCAAAAATAATGGTTACATTTATACGTATATTATAGTAATAAAGTAATGTTTTTCAGTTTTCAAACAAAAGTTATTCTAGGTGAAAAATTGGAGTCATCTATTATGAAGTACGTCTTAAAATCTTTAAAAATTTCTCTGCATTCAACTGTATATAAAACGAAGAAAGAACGCCAAAAACCAAGCCAAGTGACGCCATATAGACACGTGCAACGACTATTGACGTGTCAAGAAATTATACTTACATATAAATGACTAAATTTAACAAAATAAAGAACATTTACAGCTCATATATATTATAAATCGGTACAATAAATAATTGCTTTGTCATTGCCAAAATATTCCACAAATTCAGTGTCAATGAAGCCGTTGTATATGAATACAAATAAATAATAAATACAGATTTAGATATATGTATAATTGTATACATATAATATGTAATGAGATATTTAGATAAAACATTTTTGGGTTGCAACAAGAACTTAAAAGATAAGGTGTAAGAATGAATATAATTATAGAAAAGTAGATATATATATATCGGAATGAATTTGGTTCATCAGTTCATACATATATATACGCGTGTGTATGTGTGTGTGTGTGTGTTTGTGTGTGTGTGTTTGTGTGTGTGTGTGTGTGTGTGTGTGTGTGTGTGTGTGTGTTTCTAATAAAAAAAAAATGACGTAGAGACGTTTTATATCATGTATGTTTATCTTTTAGATATATTTATTAAACACTTTGATTGCGGTTCAGAAAATAAAAAGCGCGTCTTTTTTGTTACTATATTTTACAACTTTTCAAGGTCGATAAATAATTGTAAAAAACGTGATGTCGAAGAATAAAAGATTTATTGTATACAGCTGAACTTTATAGAGACATGAACATAGAATGAAATATGTTGTACTGATGTCTTACAATAATAAAATATTATAGAACATAAATTAAAAATAACAAATTAACTAATATGTAAAATGACAATTAAATTTTAAAGGGTTTGATGCCGAAGTCCCTGCATTATTACCGACAACTTTTAAAATAACTTGAAATAAAATTATGTTTTTGTTTATAAGAGATTCTATTTTTTTAAGTCTGATATTACTTTATTAATACTTATCTACAATCTAGATCTACGTCCAGTTCTTTGTATGTTTAGTATTGAGAAAAACTAACACAATTATGTGAAAAAACACGCGTTATAATTCGAAGCTTGTGTTGTTTTAATACAAACCTCCTTACTATTGAGCAAAGTTACATTCAACGTTAACATAATAAAAAAAAGTAAGTTGAATGAAGAATATCTATACTAATATTATAAAGCTGAAGAGTTTGTTTATTTGTTTGTTTGAAAGCGCTAATCTCCGAAACTACTGGTTCGAATTGAATAATTCTTTTTGTGTTGGA